CGAGGGGGCGGGCGACCGGAATTATAGCTCGGGGTGGGGGAGGGGGGGATATTTTTCTCGCTTCCTCCCAAACCGCCCCCACCCCCAAAGTAGTTTTGACACTCATGCAAGATGGCAGCCGTAACACAAAGCGCTCGATCTCGAGGATCTTACGGAAAAATAGAGAACTATGAACAGTCTATAGTTTCACCCTCCGAGAAAAACCGACGACCGGAAATAGGTCTGCGGTTCGAGGGCTATATTGCTTGGGGCACAAAACAAAGGAAATCAACTTTATTCTCAGCAATGAATAATACCCTTCTGTTGCTTTCTTCCCACAGGAGCCGATTAATTTAAGTAATCGGCTCCTGATTCCCACAAGCCTCGTAGCCAAGCATTAGTTTTAATATATCGAAAGTGGTCTTAACTATTAAACTCTCTCGAAACATCAAATTGAAAACAGCAAAATGATTTTTTTACTACTATGTAGCCAACAGTGAGCCAAGTAGCCTATGGCAGATGACACAATTCATGCACACTCGTTGGTCACAACAGGTGACAACATAAATTTCAGTTCTTCTTTCGTTATCTTCCCGTCCTTATTTTTATCGCATGTTTCCATAAGACTGGACTTGACTTTCTTCAGCTTACTGGGGTCATCCGCCTCACACTGAAAAAAAAAAAAAAAACATTATTTATTTTATTCTATAGTGGAAATATTTATTTCATTTCATTTTCATTTATTTTCTTGAAAAGAAGACTGTGAGCTTTGCCTCTATTGAAGGCCTCTAATGTTTATTAGCTTAGTTAAGCTTATCTAAAGTTCGAGAGAGGTTGCCCCATCCCCTTCCCCGCCCGCCCGCACCCCTTATCGCCCCAAAAAAGGGAGCCATAACATTGCTCCACCTTTTACAAAAGATACCCTTAGTAACTCGTGGTTTTCAAAAAGTAAGACAAAAAATTGTTTCGCTTAAATGTAACCATTTTTTTGTAAATGATAGATCTAAAACCATCACAAATGTCAGTGGTGCTTAACTAGCTGCCTTTTTGGGTAGCGCTTACCCTGGCTCCAAATTCCGTTCTCAAAACATCAAGGAGGCAGTTACCTAGTTGGAGGGCAGTTACCTGGTTGGAGTTAGCCAAAAGGTCATGCATGAGAGCATCAAGTTCTTCATCAGCAATATAACCATTGCCATCCTTAATTAAAAAGAAAGGAAAATGAAAGAAAAAAAAATGGTAAGGGATTTGGAATTACTAGACGTACCACCATATTTGTTCAAAGGTAATTTGCACCCAAGGCTTGTGGTGATGTATTCATACTAACGCGGCCTTTAACTTCCAGGAGTGATCATATGTAACTTCTCCTTATAATATCCAATACATTTTTCAACAGATAGGTAATGAGAAGAGGCAAATTCATCATCTAGAGGATGTTATATTGGTTTAATCTGAAATTCTCTTATTTGACAAAAAATACTATATATATAAAGTACTATATAGCAGTCAGAAAGGAGAATAACTAATTACATCTACAAGGCTTAAAAGACAAAGAGCATCACTGAGGTCTCATCCTTTTTTTATAAACTGCATCCCATAATTTGTCCGTAAGGAAGTTCACGTGGCTGCGAGCTTTGCAAGCTGCAAAGGGCTCATAGGTCACTCCTATAATGCGAAAATTTGGCTCCGTCCCCCTAGTCACTGTGTTGACGATTATTGTCACAACGTACAGCGTATAAATTCGTTATTTACCGGTTAGTGTATGCCTGTAATTAAAGTCATACTTAGATTACTTTCCTTATATAAGTATATTACAAAGGATCTCAAGGGATCCTGATGCACCTACATGTCCAGTTACTTCAATATGAGGATTCCGAAATGTGTTCTTTTTAACCAGTGTTTTTGAAAAAAAAAAAACATTAAACAGCAAAAAGTACCTGTCTGATAAGTTTGAGTTGATCAAAATGAAGGGCTATTATTTTTACTTGCCTCGTCATACTTGTTCCATATTTGGTCAAACTGTCCTTCGGTCAATTTTTCACCCTAAAAAAACACAAAGCAATACTATACAAAATGCTTACTCTTGGATCAATTCACTTATATGGGTCTTTTTCATAACTAGGAGAGACCGATGAGTCTTTAAAAGATCACAAATGATGCCCCTAACCCGAACTCTGGCGTGACTTCTACCAAAGTAGTGTTATGGTATTTTTGATCGCTTTAATTGTTTATATTGTTGATTGATTGATTGGATAATTGTTTGTCTGGCTCATCGATTCATTTTTAGAGGAAAACTGACTTGTAGGAAAATAAGTCGAATATTAGCTTGTCCCTTTTCAATGTCTAAGTACTCAGTGAGCTGTATATTTCTTCTAATTCCACGTTAAGCCACACTCGTTAGCAGGGGAAAAGATTGAACTAGTTGTACATTTTTGCTACGAAGAAATGCCCCCTAGAAGTAAGGTACACATATTAAGAAATGTTACCCCAAACTTCTTCATAAAGTTTTCTTCCACGGGAAGAATCCTGCAATTGAAACGAACACGTATTACAGTACTTCACAAAACTAGTTCTAAAAGTCGGTAAATAGGTTATGATGACATAGAAATCAAAATAAGAAATAAAGACGCTTTTTTGACTAAATGTCAAGTAAGGACCCGAACCTTTTAGCACTGATTTTCTCTCAGACTTACAGACAACTAACAACAGGGCGAATTAATCGCCAATGTGCAATGATTTACGGAGGGTATTGTTACGCCGTTAAATCGAATGATCATAATTTTAGTAAAAGAAGTCGATGACCTAAATGTTAAAACAAAAACATTGGCATCAACTAGTTATTGATTTATTAGCACTTAATGCCAAAATAGAAGGCTGTAGTTTTTTTTTATGGTCATACGGAGTTTGTTTCGAGGAGAAAACTGCGCTAGGTTTCCAGAGATATTGATTTCTTCTATGATTCTTCAACTTTATGAATAACTCGCGTGGCACCTCCTTCAAAGCAACAACAAACAGCCACAACAGCAACAACAATCTTTAATGAATTTCATGCAACACGTTACAGTTATCATGTCCACACAATTAGCAAAAATGCTATTCTAGGCGGGACAATTACATTTGCAATAAATGGTTATAAGAAAAAACACACAAACACTCACACACACAAATATAAAAGAACGAAAGAAAAGAAGGGAAGGGAAGAGAAAAACGAAAGAAAAGAAAGAAAACTGTTGATAACTTAACAAATAATTAAATAAACAATACATACGAAAAAAAAAAACAAACGTAGAAAACATTCAAGAAAATAAGAAATAATCGAAGAGAAATAAGGAAAGTTACGAAACACCAAGATTCACGTCCGTCGGAATCAGCTCACGTGATCACTTCACAAAGCATGTCCTTCCAGCTTTTTCCTCCCTAGAAAAACTAAATTTTCTCTACCCTAAGAACACCATGAGTCATGTGACAGCAGCTCGTACTTACTTGGTCATTTCCGACAATGACAGCTTCCCATCCTTGTTCTTGTCAAATAAGTCCAGCTGAAAGAAAAGTAAGCTACATGTAGAAACTATTAATCATGTAAAAAAGGAAATTTGTACCGTCATGAGAAGAAACTTAAAGGGTTGTTAAGCTACGTGCAAACAGACACAGCAACTCGCAACAATGCTGCGTCCGTTTGCACGGGGCTAAAAGTTTGACCGGTTTCAAACTTTGCGCAACAACTCCCAACAACACGCAACAATATGCAACAGGGTGTGCAAACGTACACAACATGTAACTTCCAACAAATAATAACCTATCGCTAGTTTTCATTTCACTTCATTGTATTTTTTAATTTATTTTAGAGGGCCACTAGTTTATCATAATTTTGATTACTGTCACGTGTAACCCTCGTTAAATAAAGTCGCTTATTATTCATTCAAAACATTTTAATGATTCTGATTGGCTAAAAGCATACGCATAATTCACCATAACCAGCTACTGATGACCAAATATGGAAGAATTTGCGATTAATCAACCGATGACGTCAAAAGTGCAGCTTCCTTGCAGGTTAATGCACCGTTAACCGAGATGGACCTAGAGACAAGGTTGAGTTGTTGTTGTTGTGAAAACGAAAATGGCGGACATTTCACTCGTTTCGAGAGTAAGAACTAGGCAAAATAATAGCTAAAAACATGGCAAGAACAGCAAGAAGACTACTCGAAGGGCGACATCTGCTAATTGGAGAATATTTGCGGAGCTGAACAACCCTAAACGTACACTATCGAAGATGAACTTAACATCGATGGAGGTAAGCATGTTTTAGCTGTTTTTAAACTAATATAGGACTTATTTTAAATGAATAATAAAACAATCATTGAATTCGGCTTTCGTATCATATGAAGAATTATGGAGATCTCGGAGGGTGTGATCCGCCTCAGCCTACGGCCTAGACAGATAACACCATCCTCGATCTCCATAACTCTTCATAAGATACTCAGCCTCATTCAGTAATTGTTCATTATCGTATCTTATCTTAAATTATCTAACAATGCTGTTCTTTAGTATGTAGGTTCTTACGGACATTTATTTTCCTCACTGCAGCTGATCGAATTTTATGTGGAGAATTGTCTTTTGACCGTGTGCTTACCATTTGTGTTCTAACGACGACATTTGACAACGATTACTTCAAGCAGCCTACACTGTATTATTTGGAGCCATTCAGGAACTCCCAAACTAAGTTAATGTCACGGTGTTTTGATAGGCAAGTATATTTTAAACACACTTAATTTGTAAATATAAAACTGTTCTAGTGAGATCTTAAACTGCTGTTTAAAAAAGTAAAATCCAAAATCCAAGCCTTCGCTGATCAACGGCATCATTTCCGTGATGAGGTGCGTAATAGCGATAGACTGATTCGGCAGCGGGCCAAGACTAAACGCCGAACTCGAATAATTTTTACGTCCTCGGGAGATTCTCCATTGTATGGTGGCCCAGAGAGAATGATAGTTCAGAAGATTACATTTCTCAAGCTATGATACATAAAAATAAATAATAGTGACTTAACACAAATAATTCAGTGATTATCTAATAAAAACTGCATAATTTTTTAAGATCATACAAGGTCCTATCCAAATATAATTGCTAACTTATGAGAGGGTCCACAATTTGCCTTACCTGAAGACCGAAGTTCGGCATTTTAAAGCAAAACTTTGACGGGGGCAAGATTCAGGATTGAAAGTATGTACGGGACTCTGGATGCCGAAAATCATAATAGGGATTCCAGGATTGAGTGAAATTTTGGATTAGCATGAAGCGATCGAAGAACCCTTTTGGGGGCCCTCTCATGATGCCAGCGTCTCCCAATATAGAATGCTAAGCATTCTCACGCAACTGTAAGCGTCCAACTAAACATCCGACAAGGTTTGAACAACAAACATATTCTAACTGCAATCAAAACTTACCATGGCAGTGGCATAATCCTCAAGTCTTTGTGGGTTCAATGTATGCCCTTCTCGACCAAGAAGATCTCGCAAAAACCCCTAATAAAATGAATAGATGGTAAGTAGATCCAGCTAGATTTTGTAAACATATCTCTTGCAACTGTAATTGACTCACGAGTATCAGGAGCTACCCTGATCTTAAGCCGGTAATTACAATGAGACAATACGGCATCAAAGAGTGGAGCTGTCGTTAAAGGAGTGCTTTACACTCGCTTCGGCAATAAAGGGCCTTTGAAACCGCACTCTTTGCCCGTTTATAGACCTCACAGCTATGGCCATGCTGTGTATCCGAGCAAGTGTAAAGAACTGATATTTAGAAAGAAGAAAAGAAGCGGTACACGCCATCAGTACGTTCCCTTCGATAACATTCCTCAATGTGATAGCCTTGTATTGCTCGGACTGACGTTTCACCCTAATTGTAAATTTAGCGAGCACGTCAGACTCAAGCTTACAAAAGCTAAAAAGTGTCTTCACGTTCTCAGAACTCTACGAAAGGAACTCTTTAGCTAGAAGGAAATAGATCACTTGTTTAAACCCTAATTCTTCCCATTTTCACATATGGTCTCGCTGTGTATGGCGCTTCTGATTCTGATTTAAATGTTATACAGCGTTTTTTAGACAGGTGCCATAAGCGTCATTTTACCTGTCAAACAGTCAGCATCTTTAATCTTTTAGAACAGCAAGATATATCCGCTTTCAAAAGAGCTATTAATAATCATATGCTAGGTGCGATCGTTCCCAAAGAAAAATAATTAATATATAATTTGCGTAGGAGAAGGTGTCACCTTCCTCAGATAAAAACGGAGAGATACAAGAAAACTTTTGTAAATGGACTTATTTTTAAATATGATTTAGCATAGTGTTATTCTATCTTACATTATTATTGTATTTTATCGTGTATCTTTTAATACATTTTCTTTGTAACTTAGGATATGTATTTTTATCCTTTGATTGAATAAAGACTATTATTATTATTATTATTATTATGCTGATAAGCCCCAATGAGCTGTCAATGGCTGCCACTGCGAGGGTGATATGGCATGGGTTGGTGTATGTGTGTCCCTTGCTTTACGTTTGTCCTATTGGAAGATATATATTTTTAAACCAGCGTTACCTCCTTATGTGATGCTGCTTGACAATACCATTGTCAAAAATTTGGGTACTTTGCAACCTTTTTTTAGTATAAGAACTTTTAAGAAAGATCTAGTAAAATATCGTTTCATCTTTGGTTTCGGCGTGCCGTACCTTCAGCTCATCGCTCTCTATAAAACCTGACTGATCCTGGTCATAATGGGTCCACACCTTTAAAAAGAGAGAATTAAAGCACAAAACAATAAAGCAATTTAAAATATGATCATTCATTAAAATCACCATTTTTTCTCGACCCCCCGATTATTCCACTTAATTTTTTTTATCTAGAAGGCAAAGAATTTTTATTAAGTTATTAAAGTCTTTTATAAGTCACATGATCTGTTTTTCTTTATTTCGTAATCCTTGCTCCACTTAGGCATAAATGCAGCGCTATTTCATAATATCCAGGCCGTGGGAAAAACATTGGTGCCCAATAATATTTGCTGCTCTTTCATTTCCTTTCCCCCGCTTTAATTTGAACACTTAGACCGTTAACGATCATTTTCAGGTCACGTGACTAATATTTCAACAATGAATATGACACATGTTGTTAAGGCCACCGAGCTAAAACTGTTTGCCAAGTTTGACGATGACTGATCAAAACAATCCGTTTCAAATGCCACTTCGCCAAATTATGCAAAGATAGTCGGTCGAGAGAGCGCGAACTGTGAGAAACACTGAGTAAAATGGACGAAAACAACTAATAAAGACGTCCCTCATTTCGGAATAGACCATTTCAAGGTTCAAACACACATTTTTTTTTTCTATTTTCACGGAGGTTATTTGCCAAACACCTCACTCACAAATTCCTGATGTTGGATTTTCAATGGCAGGTCTAGGTGTTGAAAAATTCGTCTTTAAGTGATTTCAAAGATTTGTGTTTATCGTCGTCATGGTATTATCGATTTTTATTGAAACAACATATTGACAAACTTCAATCCCAGGTCAGTTGGTGGTGAAAATTTCATGGCAATCGCACAAGGATAAAATCACTTTTAAGGTAATTGACGTACGTGTAACGCATATTAACTCCCGGTCCAACCACGGCAAGTACACAAAAACGATGTTCAAAGAGCAAGAAAACGAGAAGAGGAGGAAATACAACCAGAGAGTGATGGATGTAGAGATGGGAACCTTTAAACCACTGGTGTTTGGTACAAACGGGGGCATGGGACTCGACTGTCAGGACTTTTTAAGAACTCTCGCAAATAAGTTTTCGACTAAGAACGATGAACCCTACGCCAGCGTTATTTCCTGGCTTCGAACACAGCTCTCATTTGCTATATTAAGAACTCAGTGTACACAGATGCGTCAGAGGTTCTAGATATCCAATCAAATCACGTGAGGTCTCAGAAGACTTCACTTTCGCTGTAGCTGGTCTACATCTGCACTCATAATTTTAGGCCTAGATTTTTGATAGTTTTTTTCTTAGTAATGCTTGATTTTCCTTTTCTCACTCTTAAATTATTTACAATTGTAAATAGTTTTCCATTGAATATCGGTATGGTCTCCGAAAAACTGTATCGAAGTAATTAATAGCTCAATTGTACATGTATTTCATACGAAAAACTGCGGTAAGTGAACGTAACAAATTTCAAACCTTAAAGAATTCCACGCTTGTCAAGGAATCATGGTGCTGAAACTTTACGAGAAAATTCTCCTCGGTTGGTAGAATTCTGGTGAGCTGTGAAGAAGAAATTTAACAGTCAGTGATATAACTGAAGAGAAGGTAAATTTAACGGCGATTTGTTTGTTTTCTTCTTTGGCCCTTTGATCTTGAATGACCTGGAGAAACACTGTGACCTCCTGTAGCTTCCTGTGTTTGAAGAAAAAGTTAATCTTATATGGTAATGAGGAACGGGTGTTAAACTCCTTGTCTAACACGGCAGTTAATGTATTACGATTTGAAAAATGCCCCGAAATGTTCTTTTTGCCTTACACTTGATTCTCTATCATAACTTCTTTTTAGAGAGATCAAGCTCGTTCCTCTCAATAATTTTGCCTTTTTACATCACTTTAGAGCTGGCCAAAAAACTCCAGAGTGCAATTCGTTTTAGTCGTCTTTCATTTTGCTTATTTGCTCTTGTTTTTGTTTTGTTTTTGTAGGTTTTCTGATCTCCTGATTTGATATTTCAGTAAATTTTGTGATCGTTTCGGTCTTGGTAATTGGTGAAATTGCCTAGATTATAATATGTAACATGGCCTAGACAGTTGACAACCTTACAGCAGAACACAGACTTCTATTTCACTTAAATATTAATTACTTGTCACAATCGATGTGGAGTAAATCGGACTCGATAACTGAAGCGTATTAAAATTCAAATGGACTATTAAAAAAAGACAGCAAAGTAGCAGGAGGCTACTGTTTTAAGATCGGGAGAGTACAAAAAAACAGAATACTAAACTTATAAAAGAAAGTCATAAATACCTCTTCCAATTCAAGTTTCCCATCAAAATTTTCGTCGTACTTATATAAGATTTCCTCTTTCATCTCTGCAATTGATTTTGGGTCGTGTTGCTCCTTAAACAGGCGGAAAAAATGGGTAAGAATGAAACTATTTGTAAATACAGAGATTTAGAATCGTGTTTAAAATGTACACAGGAACCTCGATATAACGAAGTTTCGTTATATCGAGGTCCTTTTTCATATATCTTGCTATTACTAGGGTAAAGAAATTCGTTCTTTATACCGAGGACTTCGTTATATAGAGGTACTGGAGGTTCCACTGTACATAGTTAGGTTTTCTTTATAATTGTCGTTACACACAAACACGTCGGGTCAGCAGAGAGCTTGCATGAAACTACAATGGAGTTCCAGGAACAACTCTTGCAGTCTTTATCAGTTTGGGCTCATTGGTTTGCAGGATGGTAGAGCTTTGTATTCCAAACAACTGAATGATCATTTTTGTTTTTCAATTTTAACGGTCGTTAACCGGGAAGTTACGATGTTAAGAGATTAAAAGGCACAATTAAAGTTTCACGATTAATTAATGGTGGTACAAAGAAGTCTAAAGAGCATAAAGGGGACGAAATCGAATGGGAAGATTTTGGGGAAAGCTTTATTGCTTTATGAGGAAATACGCTTATGTTCCTAGAAATAGTAACAAAATAGCCAGAAACAAAACCTACGGTAATCTTCACATGGGATTACTTAGGCTCCGTCTACACGTATTCGGATATTTTGGAAAACGGACTTTTTTCCTCCGTTTTCCAAAAAAAATACGTGTCTTACTGACAGGTAGCGTATTGGAATCGTTTTCACCTGTCTCTTCGAAATCGTCAATCAATGGAAATACGATGGCATCCCTTACGGAGCATGCGTTGTGCTAGTAGTAAATGATGCATGGTATCATTGTATTCGAAAACATCCGTTTTTGTCCGTCCGCACGTAAACGGAGAAGCCAGCGTTTTCAGAAAATTTCACTCTGGAGAGCCTTTTAGAAAAGATGCGTTTCCTGTGACCGTTTCGGCGGAATACGTGTCGACGGTAGGCCAAACCGCAGAGAAAAAATCTCCGTTTTCAAACAAAAACTGATACTTGTGGACGGGGCTATGGTGAATTTCATAAAGAAGGATTTGCATAAGCAAAAACATCAGCAGAAGGTTGGATTGGTTTTCTTCTGATTAGCTGACAATGACTTGTAGAATTTTGTTCATATAGCCAACGTAAAGTTAAGCATTGGCGCTGCTGAGTTATCGATCAGTATTGTATTAACTTTTCCAGGTTTCACAGAACCTACAAGCTGGGTGAAGAGCAAAACCATTAGGCATTAGCATATACACACTCAGTCATCTTGGTGATTTACACAATTTGATTGGTTCGCTATCTCGGACTATTCAACAATATTCACCTCCTAGAGAGTGGATAATGTGTGAGCTCGGTGTTTTTCCCATTTTTTTTAGAGAACGATCTTTTAAAAGTCGACAAAATCCTAGGGCTGACTTTTATTAAGGCAAGAAAAGACTTGGAAGGATTCAATACGGCGTTTCTCAATTTACTGTAGCTGAGTTTTGTGCTCGATGGATTGTTTACAACTCCCGTGTATTCGCGTAGAAGCCGTTTCGTGAACTCAGCTTTTTCTAACAAGAAAATTTTGGCTCAAAAATCGAAGTTTATTTATGACAAAAAAATTTAAAAGGAAATGTTTGCAGAAATTCTACGTTTCAAGTAAACAGGAAAAAGAATGATACAGGAAGACGACGGCTTACCTCGAGCAACCGAGCCGGCCATTTTTGTCAGCACTTCATGTGAAGAACGACACAACAAGCCCTTTTGGCTATAGGCTTGGCGAGTCAACAGAAAACAGCAAAGCTCCACTTTTCTTCTCAGGTAAGGAAACAGTTCAAACTTTTAGCGGTTCCATTTAAGCCATTACGCTGTTGTTTGCGAAATGATAAACTTGTGAATTGCCATGTTTGAAAGTTCTGCAAAGATCTATTTTTAAACTTACGCGTGATTTGATCTGTCAATCAAATCGTACTTTTTAATGGTTTCCTCTCCGATTTTGGTGAGATCACTTCGTGTGTGTATACTCCCTTACCAAATCCAACACTGTTTTGAATGTATTTTTAAGCTATTTTTGAAAACTGTTTTTAACCTGTTTTGTGAAATAGGTTTTAAATAGGGTAAAAAGTGTATTTTTAATGTATTTTTCGACTGCTTTTAAAGGTGTTTTAACCTGTTTAAAACGCTATTAAAAAAGAATTTTTAAAGTATTTTAAAATGCTTTTAAAATATATAAAAAATTCCAGGGCTTTTGCAAGGCTCAAAACAGGTCAAAAACAGTTTTTAAATACCTTATAAATCGGAATAAAAACAGGATAAAAACAGTTTCAAAAACATATTTTAATTTACTATACTATTTTAAAACTATTTTTAATGTCAATTTTAAACGTATTTTGAAAAAAACAGGTTTAAAATAGGTACCAAAATATATTTTTGATATATTTTTCGACTGATTTTAAAGGTGTTTTAACCTGTTTAAAACGCTATTAAAATGTTATGCTTCAAAATATATTTTAATAGCTGTTTAATCGGTTTCGAAATTTAGTAAAATACTCGTATTTGCAAATACAATAAAAATACTTTGAAAACAGTATTATAATACCACAAAAGAAGAAAAGCAATAGCACACATATATTATGAATTAAATACATCAAAAATAGGATGCAAAAATGCAAAAACAGTATAAAATTGTAAGAACATAGCCTTAGAGTTGTCTGAAAACAGTATAAAAATCGGTCGAAAGAGCATAAAAATAGTACAAAAACAGGATGGAAATACCATTTAAATTCATGAAATAAAATGAATACAAAACCGTCGAAAATTACCCTGAAAAAGCAAGATTTACCTCGGCGAAATTTCTCCACACAGTCCTAGGCTAGGACTTCAAGAGAATTATCTCTTAGCCGATTACTTTACGTTGATTTCCCTAAGAATTCTCGGGAAATTCTTATGGAATTTTTCAGAAATGCTCAAATCAATCTTTAGCCTGTGTACAGACCCCTTCCCTCAATAAAACTCGGAGGGGAGGGGTGGGGGGGTATGTACACAGGCTATCAACCTTTGGCTTCAAAAGGGTATAACGTTACTGACGTTACCGGTAAATATTAATCTACATGCATGTAACTTACATTGTTTATTATATTCACGGCTTTACTCAGATATCATCAGAAGCTTAATGCAGGCTACGCCTGAACATTAATTAGTGGCTGATAAAGAACAGCATACGAATAAATTTACGCAAGAATGAAAGAGGCCGGTGACGTGACATCAAGTGACTGAGATCATTTATACAAAACAGCGAGTCTCTGCGCTGCAAGGAATCCTGTAAAAAGTAAAATTGCCATACGGGCGCGACTATATAAATGTTTACTACCCTTCATTTGTTTCTCATATGGCGTATATCT